CTTCCAATATATCTATATGTATACAGGGTGCCACTACCCCCTGATAGCAGCGGACGTGGCGAGCACGTCGCTACGACGCACAGTGGTCTGGATCGCAAGAAAGATTGCCAAAAATAGAAAAAGATTTTAGATTTAAACGAAAATATGTATATAAGAGTTTTCAAGGTCGCTGATTACGAATTTGGTATGAAAATATTAAAATTCAAAATGGCGGATTCAATATGGCTAAACAATTGTTCGGAATTTCATCTCAATTGGTGTATAAGGATATTCAAAGTTGCTAATTATGATTACAAGATTACAATTGCGAAATTAAGAAGCGTATGATTTAATTGATTTTTATTTGCGAAATAAAAATTGCGAAATTAAGAAGCGTATGATTTAATTAATTTTTATTTCCAAAATTTTCGCAAAGTAACAGTTATTGTGCGATAGCTAACTAAATTTTATTATACAATAAATACATCGAGTTTAAAAAATTAGTCTTCAAAGTCAAAATCAGAATCATGATTATCAAAAATTTCTAAAGAATTGTCAGACTCATCAGAAAAAATTAAAAGTTCTACGGCTTATAAGCATTATATATTCTTATTTTTTATTTATTTTTAATTGCAAAAAAATATGAAAATTCAACGACATATTAAAATTAGTATATGCATATACCCCCGGTATATGCATTCAAATTATCTTATATGTTAAAATAAGATACACACGATATATACATTTAAATTATCTTATTGAAAAATCAGATCTTTATTATTGATTTTTCAAGAGCAGGTAGTCCCCGACTCCTCTATCTGCCTGTGTATCGAGCCTAACCATACAGCTGGCTCGGCGTCGCTGTATTCAAAATGGCCTTACAATGATAGGGGCAGTGACGGGCAAAATTTTCTTCAAAATTTCATTACAAAATATCTTAACCTTTATGCTCCATATAACAATTTCGCAGCTCCCCGTGGCGTGATAACTTTTTCAATGATTTACAGTGAAAGTTTTTATAAGAAAAGCAATAGTGCAGGCACGTCTTTGACATGATTTTTAATACAAGCTGAATATGCATTTATGAAAACGTAATATATACGAATATTCTACATACCTTCGTTGATATTCTCCATCAAGCAGAATTGAAAAAAGACCCTCCAATAAAAAGTTATAGTTATTTTCAAGTTACGCACTTGAAAAACTTAAATATTTTGGACGCGCGAAGCAAGACTGACTAAGCCCCGAGAGCTGTCATTTCGAAACAACGTAGCATCGTAGATATTAAAGAATCCCCACTTTCCCTTTGGAATAACATGTAGTAATATTCTCTCTACAAAATTCTATGATACAAAACTCATAATTATAACTTTAATTTTTTGCATTTTTGGCCACCTTTTTCGAAATCTAGACTACTGTGCGACGTAGTAACGTCGTAACGACGTGTTTGTAACGTTCTTGCCACATCTGTGCAGATAAGGTCGTATTATCTTTTAACACTTTAAGGCGCTTAATTCATGGAACATTCTAGTAACTTTTATTTTTTTTTAAATATTATTAAAAACATTCTAAATAGCACATTTATAAGGTTTCAACTGCTCGATCCTAAGTGGTTCCTATTGTTACCAGTGATACTTAAAGGGTTAAAGGCGGATTCTTAAGGTAAATTGAAGAAAAAAGTTCTAATGCAAAAATGTTAAGGCTATAATACTTTTCAAATTATAAACGATTAAATTTGACAATTATATTGGCTAAAATACATGCGCTCAGGTACAGTACGATACACAATAGTACAGGTGCATGCACATAAGTGACAATTTGCATAAGATATGAATTAGTTGTAAATCTCTGAAAGAAACATCAAATGTGTGACAGCTTATTGATTCTCATAAATGTATTGTGTGATATTTTATTTATAACATTTTGACGAAATTGTTATTATTTGCGATATGTTCATTTAAATGATAGAAAAGACAGATTTTTTATAGATACATTGTTGTATGTATGGAACTTCCGTATCAATATTTGGAAAAAGGGCGACATGTGCATGCACCTATAATATTATATGTTGCACCGTACCTGAGCGTGCGTACTTTAGCTAATATAATTTAATCGTTTATATTTGAAAAGTATAGCCTCGACATATTTGCATTAGGATTTTTTAATTCAAATTACCTCAAGAATCCGCCCTTAAGTGATAATATGGTAGTGACGGAACACCCTGTATATATTCTCTGTCCGTTGTGACGTTGATAGCTGCGGTTTCTCATCGTTTTCGTAACATATTGAATAAAACTCCATTTCATATTTGTACGTACTTTCAACATGCAAAAGGACTTTTCAGTCAGCACAGTTAGCGAGAAGTAATCGTTACAAAGAGAAACGGTATCCTAAGAGCTACAGTTTCTCATCATTTTCGTAACTTATTGAATCATGTACGTACTTTCAACATGCAAAAGAGTTTTTTAGTCAGCACAGTTAACGTGAAGTAATCTTTGCAATGGGTTATAATAACATCGATTTGCTCTAACGAAAATTACTATCTGCTTCGATTTATATGAAGAAATATCGTGTGAAATTATGGTGAAGCAATGCGCAGTATGAGATGTAAACGATGTCTCAAATTTCTATTACAATTTTTAAAAAAATATTATGCAGTCTTCTCTGCAAAACAATACTTGTAAATATTCTCTTGCATAAAACATTCTTCCCTACAAAATTCTTCTTTTATTATGATGCACCGGATAAATCAGCAATAGGATTACTTTTTGTCAGATAAGTAGCAAAAGTATATTTTGCAAAGAGTGAGAATATCGGCTGCGTGGCAAATTCACATATGTGTGAGATTTAAATATGGGGAAATAAAACCATTGTTATATATACGATTTTACATTCAAATACATACAAAATATGTGAAATGATAGCGGTATCATATCAGCGCCTATTTAACGATCGTTTTTATTCCATAAATACCTACAGTGTGTCCCATAAGTTCGGCAAGAAAACTCGGCGGGGGAGCATTTTAGAGAAAAATGTTTCCAATAAAAGTTGTAAGGCTTAAAAAGTCGCATTTAATGACAGTAGTTATTTGACCTAAGATGACGTCGCCAAGGTCAGGACAAGGTCAACTTTGCTTTTTTAAATAGAAATACATTTTAAATAGAAATACATATTTTTTATTAAGGAATTTTATTCTATGTAAAAAAGCAAATAACTTTTGCTTGAAAAAATTTTTTATACAACCTCTATTTTCTAAGATATTTACGTAAATATCTACAAAATTATTGGTTTCAATAATTTTTTACTTGAATTCTATTAACTTTACCGAAAAATATTAAGAGATAAAAATTGCTTATTTTGTTTTCAAAGAGCTCTGAGAATTTTTTCAGAATTTTGTGTTAACTTTTTAGTACTTCAAGAAAATGCAAGAAAATGCAGTACTAAAAAATTAATATAAAATTCTGAAAAAATTCTCAGAGCTCTATGAGAACAAAATAAATAATTTTTATCTCTTGATATTTTTCGGTAAAGTTGATAGAATTCAAGTAAAAAATTATTGAAACCAATAATTTTGTAGATATTTACGTAAATATCTTAGAAAATAGAGGTCGTATAAAAAATTTTTTTCAAACAAAAGTTGTTTGCTTTTTCACGTAGAATAAAATGCCGTAATAAAAAATATATATTTCTATCTAAAAAAGCAAAGTTGACCTTGTCCTGACCTTGGCGACGTCATCTTAGGTCAAATAACTACTGTCATTAAATGCGACTTTTTAAGCCTTACAACTTTTATTCGAAACATTTTTCTCTAAAATGCTTCCCCGCCAAGTTTTCTTGCCGTTGCCGAACTTATGGGACACACTGTATGTGCACATAAATTCAATAACGTCGGTAAATAATGATAACGTTTTCTACTCTTTGACGATCGCTCTATATTATCGACGTTTATCAAGTTGCTCGCTCCAGCATTCTTTTTAGGGGACTGGAGAGTCAGATTGCCTGAAAATCGTGCTTGTCCTTTCACAATTTTTTATGACAAACTGAATGAATATGCGAAAGTGTTATTTTGACGTGTATTTATACAACATATAAAGAGAAGAAAAATATAATTTTGATGATCAAATACTCAATATAAGTGTATGGTGCAATTAAAATATATTTCGTTTTTCTTTTTAATATTGTCATTTTGCAGTAATATTTTGACTCTGGGAAGTTCAATTAAGTTGAATTTTAGGTAGAAAATTTCCGAAAGTTCGTCGTTATCGGGTAAACTACTATAATAGAAATTGAGTAAAAGTTAACAAAATTGCAAATATCTTAATGGAATATTATTAAAATTTTCAGTTCTTTTATAATAAAAAAATTAATGTTTTAAAATTAAATATTTTCACAAGATTATCAGTGGTTCTGATAATGACTCGATAATGACAAGCTTACAAAAATTTTCTACCTTTAAAATTCAGCTTAATTGAACTACCGAGAGTTAAGATATTATTGCAAAATGACGACCTTGAAAAAAAACCGAAATATATTTTAACTACATGTACTATGTACTTATATTGAGAATTTGTTCATCAAAAAAATTTTTTTTTCTTTATATGTTGCATAAATTTAAGTCAAAATAACAATTTTGCATATTCAGTCAGTTCATCATAAAAAATTGTGAAAAAACAAGCACGATTTTCCTTAAGGTAATAAATAACTGCTGACAGATGATGCCACGTATATATTACGTATAATCTAGATGGGCAACGTCTTCCAGAAGATTCACTCAAACGATCTCTTAGAAAACTGCACGCCCAATGAGTGAATGGCTCCCTCTCTCTTTCTTCCTCTGCTTTCTACTTTTTTAATCTTGCTATATTTGCAATATGATTTAGGTTTAGATTTATGTTTATGTGTTCCTAATTTGAAACATAAAATATTTTGTCTTAAATCTATTTTTAGTAGTTATATCAAAGAAGGATCTAAAAGAAATATATAGGATAGTAGACGAGGTCGTCGGAATGAAAAGTCGTACATTAATATAGCTGCTACAACAATTTAATTTCTTTCTTACAATTTTGTATGACATAATCGTTTTTTTGTAATTTTTTTCAATTATGTATATAAGCCTGTCTCGCTATTCTACTAATATGTGTTACTTAAAAAAATCGTTTATATTCTACACATAAAATGTAGGATTGCTAAACGACATCCGTTGCCGTGTTGTTATTCACCATGCCTTTATCACCTCTTTTTCTGCCCCCGCATTAGATAAAGCGCTCGCCATGGTTATTTCTTTTCCTAGTTTACCATCATCGATGCTACCGGCTCCAGCACTAGCACTAGCGCTAGCGCTGCTGGATGTCTCCGATCTTACGATACCTCCTTTCCTTCCTTTCTTGTGGATTATTCCTTTGTGGATTATTCCTTTGTGGATTATTCCTTTGTGGATTTCGTGATCTCGATTGATCTTAATGGCCTCAACTTCATTCTTCGTCAAATCTGCAGTAACGCTTACGATCTTCGGTAATGGACCGGCGTCAGTAAGTTCACCTTTCTTAGCCCAGCTATAAGATGCAATCTCGGCAGTAGCACCAGCATTTGTAGCTATAGCTTTTGTTTCGGCGGCACCAGCAGCACTGGCACGCGCTACGCTTGCACTATTCTCAAGAGCAGCGCTGGCTTCTGATTCGGCAGATGCAATAACTCGTGCGTTCATTGCTTGTCCGATAGCGGCCTCAGCATTGGCGCGTGTCTCCTGGGCTTTACTCGTTGAAACAGTTGCTTTATACTCAATGGCAACTGCAGTATCGGCAATCTCCGAAGCAGCAGCGGCTGCTACTCTAGCGGCGTTCGCTTTAGCTTCGGCCTCAGCGGCAGCGGCTGCAGCAGCTTGTGCACGTTCGTTAGCTGCTTCAGATTCCTCGCTGGCGTGTCTTTGGGCAGCAGCAGCATTTCTTGCAGCTAAATCTAATCTACCGGCGGCTATTCTCATATTGGCGACATCTTCCTCAACTATTTTTGCAGCTTTGGCGGCTAAAGCCGACAATTTAACGACTTTGGTTGCTTTGTTGGCCACGTCGACCTCAGCTTTTGCTGCTGCCTCAACTAAGGCAGCGGCCTTAGCGGTACTTTTATTAGCTAATTCACATGATTTAGCGGCAACGGCCGTTTGACCGGCCGCAGCGGCTTGCGCCTCGGCGGCTGCTTGTCCAATGCCGAGTCCTCTTGAGAGTGCCTCCGCCGAAGCGGACGCAGTATTACCGATTCCAGTGCCGATTGTTGCTCCTTCGATTGCAATCTTAGCAGCGTCTCTCACCTCACTCTTAGTGTTCCCTCGGTAAAGACGATAGCCCCATCCTCCTTTGTTGACGGTTGATGTTCTGGCAGATGCTTGAGCAGATGCCTGAGCAGATGCTTGCGCGGTAGCTAATTTGTCGTGACTAATTGCCAATGCATCCGCTTGCGCGGACGCTGTCGTGCTTGCTTTCGATCCGATGATCTCGCTAGCGCTAGCAAGACCCCAGACAAGAAGGGATGTCGCAAGTATAGCTGGAATCTTCATCTTGGTAACTACTTCGCAAGATTGATATCGGTTGATCGGCGGCCCGCCAGTTTTATACTGTGGTGAACCATTTGTAAAAACAACCTGTTGCGCTGTCGCGAAAATTTGCGCACTCCTTTAAATATTATCACAAGACTTCTATCACTGTCGGCATCTCCGATGTCTTTGTTTCTATTGTTTTTGTTTATTTAATTGTGCTCACGTTTTTCTCCAATTTATGTGTTTTTAAATTGATAACGTGTATGCGTATTGTACAATTTACTTGTATGTCACTTTTACATAATTCCACATTAAACTCATTTTTAATAATTTAATTAATTTAACATTCCCAAATATATCAACGTTAAAAAAAAAATTTAATATATTTTTAAAAAAAAATTCAATATATTTTAATAAATATATTGTAAAATATAGTGATACTATATAACACACAATGTTACATCATTATCATATACGTAGAATAATAAAAAAAGTTTCTTAAATTTTTAGCATTCACAAAGATAATTCTTAGGCATTCTCAACAAAAATATTAAAAGTTTTTGTTTAAAATAATTAAAAAAATTGAATAATTAAAATCTAATTTCTGACAAATATAGTAATGCGATACTGGCAATATTGATTTTTATTGTTCATGGTAGCAAAACTTGATAAGAAGCCTTTAAAATATTTGGATACGCATTAGTATACGTGAGTAACGATTTATAATTTAATGAAGAGAACTTAAAGGAGATCATAACATATCTGCCATTTAATACTGACAATTAATATTATCATGTTAAGATTAAGAGATACATGAACATACATTCATTAGTAACTTACTTTTTGTATATAATTATATATACTTTTATTATATATTTTTGTATAATTATATATACTTTTATTATATATATTTTTGTATATAATTATATATACTTTTATTATATATATTTTTTGTATATAATTATATATACTTTTATTATATATTTTAATATATGATATGTTCGTTGTAATTCCATGCATTTCAATTAATTTTAATTATTTTTCTAGGATATTTATTTTTTTAAAAAGAATGAGTTCGAATAAATTTATATGATTTTATGGGTGAGGCAAATAATGGAAAAAATTTAAAAAATTCATGTTTGTAACCCGAATTTCAATGTCATGCTTATCTTTGAAAATAAGACTATGTATTTTGTGTGTGCATGCGTGCGTTTATACGCGCGTAGGGTAAACTCGAGTATTATGACCATACCGGAAAGATGGCTATAGATAATTTCTCTAATAATTGCGAAACATGGCGTTTTTGTAATCAGTCACAAAGATAATCGATATTTATCATAGTGTATATGCGTATATTTTTTGAAATATCAAGATTATGAATATTATAGTATATTTTTATTTTTGACTACCTGTAAAATTTCTCATGTATCCACTAAAACTTGCTATAACGTCGAATAAATTAGAGTTAAGCTATCGCAATCAACGTTAGATAAAGTAGGTATGTAAATTGTAATATAACATGTATTTTTATTTTTGTTTCCATTACTTTATAAATACTATTATAAATACTATTATAATTTCTCTTTCACTTACGTTTTGAGTAAAATGGCCTATTATCATTCTAACATTTATAAAACAAAAGTCGTCGTATTTCAAAAATTATTTTCAATATTATAATAATTAAATCTTATATGCAATATGTTTTGATCAAAAATTGGATTTAGAATTTAAGTTTTGTAATAGAGATTTCTATTTTATATGTGTATTATATTTTTACAAATTTTTTTTTTCATTATTTTATAAAATAATAGGTACAGAATCTTCAACATAAAATATTTATGAGTCATCTATTCCTTATGGCCATCTTGTCTTAAACATTTAGAGAAGATGGCCAATGCTCATATTTTGATATTTTTATAATAACTAATTTCACTGAAGTATTTTCCTTTTAACCCTGATGATATTATGTACTGTAAGCTTCAGTGAAGTAATGTGCCAAACGCTATTAAGAAATAACAATAAGAAATGTATTTTTTTTGCATTTAAAAAAAATATGGCCATCTTATCCGAGTTTACCCTATGTATGTGTGTGTATGTATATATAATCTTATGGCATGCTCTAACTAATGTATATTGATATATTCTGTTTTTAGAAGAAATTTAAATCTTTAAAACTAATTTCCTAAGAATTGTGTAATTGTGTTTAAAAATTTTATTCGTAAAACAACAAGGTTAAACATAATATAATAGACTTTTATGTTACACAGTTTAATACAAATACCTAACAATTACAAAAAAATATTTGAAATTTTGTAAGCATCTGTAAATGTAAATCCGGATCTAATTAAAAGGAAAAAAAAAATCAAGGACGTATCAGTCGTGACCACAAATTCTTCTTCGAAATCCGAGTATGTTAATACCGGTGCGGTGGTCAGTTTTTCCTTTAATTTATCAAACGCCATTTGTTGTTCTTTGTTCCATTCGAACTTTTCGTCCTTTTTGGTTAGTTTGGTTAATGGTCGTGCTATTTTTGAAAAGTTTTCAATAAATCTTCGGTAGTATCCTGCGAGCCTTATAAACGATTGAATGTTTTTAGTTTTTGGATCTCGGGAAATTTGTTATAGCTTCTATCTTTTTTGGATCCGGTAAGATTCCATTTTCCGAAATTATATGCCCCAGGTATGTTACTTCATTCCTGAGGAACTCGCATTTATTTGGTTGGAGTTTCAAGTTATTTGTTGCAATACATTGACAAGTTTTTTGTTATGATCTTCTAGGCTATCTCCATATTACTATGTCATCCAAATATACCAAGCATTTTAGTCCTTGTAATCCAGTTAGAACAGTATTCATTAGAATTAAAAGAAATAAAAAAACTCTTCTTGAGTATCATCAATATTTAAAGGACAATAAGAGTTCAAGCACAGGTTAAATAGTGCTATTAAAACTATTAAAAAATAGTGACCCAATCTCACAATGAGAAGAAATTTATTCATCATCAAACGCGTTTCGGTCTAACTTCGCAGACCCTCTTCAGTGATTACAAGTTGAAAACGAATTATATTTAAGTGTCACAAAATG